TTATAATTAATACCGATTTATATTTGGAATATAATAAAAATATATACATATATAGTTTAAATTTATAATTTCTTATTAAAATTTATATAATTTTATATATATATATTTCTAATAAATTACAACCTCCCTCCCATCCTCATCCCACCCTCATAATCAAAAAACAATAATGATAATTTCAAAATCATTAATTTAAATAATAATTATATTCCCGATTTCAAATTAAAAATTAATAAAAAAATCAAACAATTATAAATATAATAAATAATATATTATTATTCATATATATATATATAAATATAAATTTCGTAAATTTATTATAATATATTATAATTTTAACATTATTAAATATTTAATTAAAAAATATAAATAAATAAATAATTATATTAAAATTATATAATAATAATTATATTATATTATATTTCTAATTATAAACATAATTTTAATAATATTTTAATTATAATTATAACCAATTATTACAATTATATTTCAAGTACCACTAAAATTATAATTACAAATACAATAACTATTATAAATATTACAACTACACTACCACTGCAACTACAGCTACAACTACAATTACACTGCAATTACACTACAACTATATTTCAATTACAACTTCAATTGCACTACTACAAACTACAACAACAATTACCACGACGCTACACTATAACTACAACTGCAACTACCACTACAACAACAACAATAACTACAACTACATTACCACTACTGTTGCACTCCTACAACTATTGGAGCAAATACAAATACTACAATTCAAACAATTACAATTTCAACTACGCTTCAACTACACTACAACTACAACCACAACTACAACATTACAACTTCAGCAACATCAACCCCACTACAACTACAACTACTGGACTAGACCACACTACATCCAGGAGTTGTGAGTGAGGTGACTCCTGCAACCATTGCAACCACTCCAAAAAAACGCAATTCCAACCACCTTTCGGTCCATCATGCTCTGCCATCCATGCATCACAACAACTCACCTCTCCTATAGTGTCGTATCCTTGAAACTTCCGCCACCGCCTTGTGCGGTACTACTGATAAAATTTATTTTGTAAAAAAAAAACTTGGTATTTCATTGTATTTTATTGTATTGAGATGAATTTTGTTCCCCACCTGCCAGGTGAGGGTTGTTAGATTTTATGTCAGTTGCCTGCTCCTCCTCTCCTCCTCCTCTCCTCCTCTCCTCCTTTCCTCCTCTCCTCTCCTCTCCTCGTCTCCTCTCCTCTCCTCCTCCTCAACCGCGACCCTCGACGCACAGTGGTCTCTGTCGGACCTCAACCACGACCATCCACGCCCAGTGTTCCCTGCCGGACCTCAACCACGACCATCCACGCCCAGTGTTCCCTGCCGGACCTCAACCACAACCATCCACGCCCAGTGTTCCCTGCCGGCCCTCAACCACGACCATCCACGCCCAGTGTTCCCTGCCGGACCTCAACCACGACCATCCACGCCCAGTGTTCCCTGCCGGACCTCAACCGCGAGTATCCACGCCAAGTGTCCCCTGCCGGACCTCAACCCGACATCACCCGCCCGTTCCCCTGCCGGACCACAACACTACCATCCACCGCCCAGTGTTCCCTATCCGGACCTCAACCCGCTGTATCCACGCCAAGTGTTCCCTGCCGGACCTCATTTAGGAAGAATTGGACAAAGACAATGTGCAGAAGGAAAAGTTAGAAGAATGTCAGATAGTGATAGAAGCCACAAGATATGCCAGATAGAATTCCAGAAGATTTGCCAGATAATATGCCAGAAGATATGCCAGATAGAATGCCAGAAGATTTGCCAGATAGAATGCCAGAAGATATGTCAGATAGAATGCCAGAAGATTTGCCAGTAAGAAAATGTATAAATGTCATGGTGGGGATCACACGAAGTAAAGTAATTGTATTTAATTTTCTTGTTTTATTTAATTTATTGATTTTTTGTGTCATTTTCTGCGGGCACTACTGGTATACAGTAATTCTTTACAATGTAACATAATATTTTGTTTTTCCTCTCACACACATATTATGTTTTACACTTACACATATCGATCAGAAAATTCATTGGTATTGGTGGCTGGCTGCAACCGATGTCAATGTGCGCAGCTTCGTCCAGAGTTATGTGTGCATGCAAAACTTCACCAGCGGCAAGGGGTCACTGGCATCTTCTGGCTTTGTTTCTCCTGGCACCATTTTCAATCAACACCTGAGCAACTTCTGCATAGCCCTTCAAATCGGCCAGATTCAATGCTGTTAAACCATCACTTTTTGTGGTTAGATCTGGTTCTGCGCCAGCCTGAAGCAAGAAACGAACGGCTTCCACCTGACCGTTGTTAGCGGCCACATGCAATGCTGTCCAGCCATCTTCACAGCATGGTTTGTCTATTTCAGCTCCGGCCGCGACCAAGGTTTGAAGGATGCCCAAGCTGCCTTGAACAGCGGCAACGTGCATTGGGAAGAAACCGGCAATGGTGGTCTTGTTCCCCAAAGGAGCCAGCAATATGCGAACTGCCTCGCTATGGCCTCTGATCAGGGCCAAATTGATTGGTACTGAACAATCAACTGCCCCAGTAGCTTCCGGGTCCGCTCCAGCTTGGATTAGGAAGCGGATGACGTCAACACGGCCATACATGGCGGCACAATGCAATGGGGTCCAATCATCGGAAGTTGCGGGTGTATCTACTTCTGCCCCAGCCTCAACCAACAATTGGAGGACTTCTACGTGGCCCTTGATGGCGGCCAAATGTGCTGGTGTCCAGCCTTCTCTGGTGATGTTGCCCTTGGCAGCCCCAGCCTCAAGCAAGTAGCGAGCAACTTCAACATGGCCGTTCCGACAAGCCAGCTGCAAGGGTGTGAAATTGTCCACTGCAGCTGTATCTTTTTGAGCTCCGGCCTCCACCAAACAGCGAACGACATGAACGTGGCCATTCAGGGCGGCCAAATGCAAGGATGTCACATTGTCCCTTCCAGTTCTATCTTTATTAGCCCCATTCTCTAGCAACAAGCGCACAACTTCCAGATAGCCTTGCAGTGCAGCCGAGTGCAATGGAGCATTTCCATGAGAATCTGCGGGATCTGCCTCCGCCCCTGCTTCTAGGAGCAAATGCATGCATCCTACACAGCCATTCTCTGCTGCACAGTGCATTGGCGTCATCCCATTCGCATCAGCCAGATTGGGATTTCTGGGTTGTTGGAGGATACGTTCTACTTTGGTCACGTCCCCCTCACTGCTTGCAGACATGAGCTCTTCGTCTTGCGTGACATCAGCCGGGCAAAAATCTAAGGCAACCAGTCGTATGTTTTGAGGAGCCAATGGCAGATCATCATCAGTCACTTCGCTGTGATCTTCCAAAAACAG